CCCAGCACTATGGGAGACTGAGGTGAGAGGATTGCCTGAGCCCACGAGTTCAAGACCATCCTGGGCAACTTGGTGAAACCTCATCTCTACAATAAATTATAAAAAAAATTAGCCGGGTGTGGTGGCACATGCCTGTACCTTTATGTACTTGGAAAGCTGAGGCAGAAGGATCGCCTGAGACAAGCAGAGTGAGACTCCAACTCAAAAAAAAAAAAAAAAAAAAAAAAAGCTGTGTGACTTTGGGAAAGATTAAATAGCTTTAACCTTGCTTAGTTTGTCCAATCTGTAAAATGGATCATGAATACCTTCCTCATAGGTCTGATGTGCTGGTAACACCTGTATCTTCATCTGTATGGTGGTTACATTGCAAAAAATCATAAAGCTGTATACATTAAGATGTGTTTTTTCTGTATGTATGCTATACTACCATAAAAAAAGGCTTGCAGGAGATAAAAATAAAAGAACATTCCTTTTCCAGTGTTCCTGTGAGCATTAGGTAGAGTCTTGTTTATGAAGTCTTTAGCACAGTGCCTTGCAACAAAACGCGCGGCAGGGTCCACGGGCCAGGCAGACTGCCAGGAACTTTCCGCGTCTGGAGCCTGCAGACTCCCGGTCTCTTTTGTGGTTACTCTGTGTTGTGGCTGCTCTCTTGGCCTCGGTTTGCCTGAACGAAATAATGGGGCCAACTTAACTGAACTTGGGAATCTAGCCAAGCTGGATCTAGAGAGCAAGAACTGGGACAGCAAATCAGAAGGGAAGGCCGACGCCAGAAGAATCTGCAACGTGGCACTCACAACCTAGCTTCCCCCGGAAGAAGCAGAGTGGCGTCGCCCGGCGCGCGGTGCAATGTGGGCCAGCAAGAGGTGGAGCCTGGCCCCACCCCCGGCCCCGCCCACGTGGCCGGCTGCTCAGTTTCTCCCTGTTCAGGAGTTGTCCAGACCCTCGCGGTGTGGTGAACTTCTGAGCTCCGGCCAATCCACCCTCCAGCACCCAGGGGAAGGGACGGTACCACCTCCCAGCTCTGGCTTCCATCCCCTTCAGCTCTTTCCAGGGGTCGGAGGACAGGGTCCACCCTGCGCGTGATCCTTGATGCCCGGCCTTTGCCCCTCCCTCCGGGTGGAGCTTCCTCATCATCGCCAGACTTAACCTGAGGCCCACTGGATCTCAAGGCCACACATCTGTTCACGCTCAGTGTTCGTGCGAGGTGAGTTTCTCCTGCTTCTAGCCCGTCTTTCTCCCGGCCTCGATCCTTTACAACTGAAGTATCAGCCCCTGGAATTGAGCGAAGAGCGCGGGCACTGAAGGGGACCGGACTTGGCTTCGAATTTGAGCGCCTTTTGTTCTCTGTATATGATCTTGGATAACTTCTCAGTTTCTTTGAACCTCCTGAGAGGTAAAAATGAGTTCCTGCATCAGAGATGTAGCAAGCATTGAAATAAAGTTTTGAAGGCGCCCGGCACATATTAGGTGCTCTGTACATTTTTTAATTTTTTTGAGTTGGAGTCTCACTGTCGCCCATACTGGAGTGCAGTGGCTGCTCCCGGCCACCGCAGCCTCGACCTGCTGGGCTCCGGCGATCCTTCCGCCCCAGCCTTCCAAGTAGCTGGAACTAGAGGCGCACGCTACCACGCCCAGCTAATTTTTTTTATTTATTGTAGAGATGAGGTCTCGCTGCCCAGGCGGGTTTCGAACCCGCGGGCTCAGGCAATCCACTCACCTCAGCCTCCCAAAGGCATGGGATTACAGGCTGAGCCACCGAGTCTGGCTAGGTGGTATGTTTTCAAGCAGATCAGTTTTAGAAAACATCACACCTTCAAGTGGGCTATTGTTCTGAAAACTCTTGGAGGGCTAAGGTTGTGCCTTGCATCTAACAATCCTTGTGGCTAGAACTGAGAGAAGCAGCCCTGGAGTTGGAGGAAGAGGGAGCTGGGTTACAGCAAGACTCAGCAGATCATTCAGTAGCAAGGTCACTACCTGATTGCACTTCAGACTTTTTTTTTTGAGTTGGAGTTTCACTCTGTCACCCAGGCTGAGTGCAGTGACATGCTCATGGCTACCACTGCTTTGACCTGCTAGGCTCTGGTGATCCTTCTGTCTCAGCCTGGCATTCCAAGTAGCTGGAACTTCAGATGTGTACCACCATGCCTGGCTAATTTTTTGATTTACTGTAGAGATGAGGGCTCGACAAGTTGCCCAGGCTGTTCTCAAACCTGTGGGCTCATGCAGCCCCCTCACTTCAGCCTTCCAAAGTGCTGGGATTACAGGCTTGAGCCACCACGCCTGGTCGCACTTCAGACTTTTAAGAAGTCAGTCAGACTCAGCAGAAAAAAAAAAGGATGGAGTTTATCAGAACTTGCAGAAGATGTTAGCAGTAATGAGATAGGATACATAGCATGTGTTTTTAGATGGCAAGTCTTAGATGGGCTTAGATGTGCTTGAGGGATACTAAATTCTGATCCCATAATCTAGAATATGAGTGTTTTTATGAGAATGGTGTGAGACGTAGGACATGTGATCCATCAGGACACCACTTATATCCGGGAGTCAGTGGAGGGAAGGGAGAGGGGTAATGGGGAAAGTGGCCAGAGGAGTGGAGGTGTGGGGAAAAACAATGGGACAACCCTGCATTTTGCCCATCAACACCAAGGAAAACACATTAGTATAAAGTACTTCTCAGTTCAAATGGCAAAGGTTATTTCAAATCTCAAATCTGTCATTTAATAGCTGTGTGATGGGCTGGGCGTTGTGGTTCATGCCTATAAACCCAGCACTATGGGAGACTGAGGTGAGAGGATTGCCTGAGCCCACGAGTTCAAGACCATCCTGGGCAACTTGGTGAAACCTCATCTCTACAATAAATTATAAAAAAAATTAGCCGGGTGTGGTGGCACATGCCTGTAGCTTTAGCTACTTGGAAAGCTGAGGCAGAAGGATCGCCTGAGACAAGCAGAGTGAGACTCCAACTCAAAAAAAAAAAAAAAAAAAAAAAAAAA